GGGTGAGGATGAGGGTGGGATGGTGCGATTGTGTATGTTTGGGTATTTGTCAGGCTGCGGTCTGGGCTGCCCCAAACCACTATCTGTTTAATATGAGGTATAAAACCACTAAAGTTAACTTTAGAGAAAATCACATGGTTAGCCCTAAAGACACCGCCCTCCAAAGGTTGTATATTGTGGCCTTCCAATAAGGCAATGGGTAGAGCGTTGAATCAGAGAATAGGAGACTAGGGTCTGAGACCGGCATGGACAGGACAAAAATTTATTAAAATATGTTTTGGTTATTTAAACACATTCATTGTAATTGATATATTAACCCACTAAGGGGCACTGTCGACACAGTCTGAAGCCTAGAAGGCACAGTAGGGACATTCTGAAGCCATTGTATGGGACTGATTACGCCTAATAATGTCCATTTTATGGACTGATAACATCAGAATCCCCTGCAAAAAAATCTGCTCCTTTAAAGCCAGCATTGGTCATAAACTACATCTCCCATAATGCATGATGATTATACGTGGGAATTCCTTGTAGGAAAGTGGGAGAATCCAATATTTAAGATGGCAGCCACTCACTACAACTCATTAGATTAAAACTCTCACTTTTACATTTAATATTATTTGTGTTTTATTTAATTTCACTTTTAGTCAGTCACATCGTGTTTTTCAGTGTTTATAAGAGGACGTGTTAAAACGCTGTTTAGATGCAGGAAATACCAGGTAGGGCTCAGTTATTGTTTGTTAGAAGGCTCAACCAGCAATGAGACGAGGAACCAGATGTTGTATGTTTAGTCAGTTAAACATGAAACATCAAAGTTAATTACAACTGGTCCTTTGAGGACCACCATAACTCTCATGTGGCCATGAGTTTGACACCTCTGGGATGTTTATTCATTTTATTCTTGAAAGTTCATTGAAAAACAGGTGAGAAAGACAAAATAAATACAAAATAATAAAGTATCTGTATATTCTAATGWCAGACAGGTTGGAGATTTTGATCTTCTCTGTCTGAGAACAGCAGGTGCTACATTCTCACCAAGCTGCAGGAACAAATCCAGGGACCTCAGAAACATTTTTACTTTAAAGCTCAGGGGAGAGCTCAGGGCTTTTTGTCCTGCAAACCTACAGATGGAGAAGGTTGGGAGACGAGTCCAGAACACAGCTAAAGTCATTTTCCAAACATGCCAGAGAGGCCTGCTTTAAAAGGAAATAAACAAAACGGAGGAGGTGCTGAAAACAATGCATTTTAAAAGAAGCTCTTCCCCCAGTGAGCCTTTATCTGTCAGTCAGAGCAGCAACGTAAACACATTTTATGGAGGGGGGGTTTCCATAGACACCGTTTTAAAAGGCACTGACGTGGGGAACCTTCGTGTGTGTGTGTGTGTGTGTGTGTGTGTGTGTGTGTGTGTGTGTGTGTGTGTGTGTGTGTGTGTGTTTTCATCACTCTTTAT